CTTTTAAATAGGGCCTCAAATATAGCCAATTTTTTCCCCAGATTTTGTGTTTACAAGTGAGCGTCCTCATTATTCACTGGCATTGTTTTCAAGTTTCATATACACGTGCACATTTAGCAAAAAGATAGAATTTGCATCAAAAAGGACCCTCGGTTAAATCTCCGGGATATGCTAATTACCGGGTAAAGAGATTAATGATATATTATAACATCAGAGCAACTCTTTGTGAGAGTTTCTGTGATGTTATAACCCGAGTAAGATAATTAAGTATTCCATCCTACACGATGAGCCGTGACGTTCACCATTTCGGCTCTCACTGCTGTCTGTGACGACAAGCCAATTATTAGCATACTCCAGATATTTCTTCGGAAAGTAATCGAGAGTTCTTTTTGATGCAAATTTATAACTTTTGCTAGTTGTGCACGTGCATATGAAACTTGAAAACAATGCCAGTGAATAATGAGGGCGCTCACTTGTAAACACAAGATCTGGGGGGAATATTGGTTATATTTGAGGCCCTGTTTAAAAGCCTTCCCTATTTTCAATGTTCTTGAAACTTGCAGGAAATATTTCTTGACAATTGATCTCGGGATTGTCGAATTTATAAAAAAATTTATCGAGCGGTTTTTGGAAAAATGCGAAATTTTTAGGCATGGACCAAATTACGTCCAAAAACTGTATCAAAAGCAGCTGAATGCAAGTTAATAAAATTCTTCTTACTCGCGATCGCCCAGAGCAATTCCCCTCTTTTTTCGTATGCAGTTTTCAATGGAATCAAACCACTACGAGATGAAGCCTCGTTTCCAAAGCTTATCATTTTCTTAAAATATTAGCGAATTGTGTAGGTAGCATGCTATTTCACTGTTTTTATTATTCTTAAAACTACATTTCAAAATATTTCGAAAACGCTCTCATAGAATTTGTTCAAACTACGCCATAATGGAGGCAATTATAGCAGGTACATACTCCCTAAAGCGATTTCTTCAAAAAACTCCTGGAACAGAGAAACACAAAGATAAATGAAAAACGTAATGGCGTCATTACGTTGCCATGGCGACTCCGATTGCAATAAAACCCAGATCATAAGAAATTTTCATCTTTATATAATACAGTTGTGGTAACAATTTTTCCATATCTTTACTCATGCCGATGTAGTTAATGCTCAAAGTTGGGAGGTATCAACCCCAAAAAATCCAGTCGAGCCACCTTAATCTCTCTATTATTAGGCCTGAAGTCCTCAGAGCACTCGTCTTGCTCCCGCAAGGGGAGGCCGAAGGCCTCGCGAGGTCGCGGTGAAAAAAATTCATGGTCACGGAGCGGCGCGTGGGTCGTAGCGGCCTGCAAACTCGAGTGGCCCATTTATATTGGTATGTCAAAATCTGTAGGTGCCACTGATCAGGTTAAAATGTAAACTCTTATAAAACTGCACCAAAAACATCTTACTCTTTACCATTTGCCCACTTTACAGCGGCTTAAGACAGCAAAACTTGGAATTTAAATTAAATGATTTTTTCATCTTTCCTCTCAAAGAGTGTACATAGTTAAATGCACAAGGGTGGAATTGAAAATTTGGTAAAACTAGGAGTAATTGGAGCTTAGGAGAGTGCGTTCAAGATGCTTGTTACCTATTTAGATAAATAAAAATGCAAAGACGATCAAGAAAAAGATGAAAAACGCTTTATGAAAACTGGAATGCATGACCAGGAATCACCACAGGAGCATCAAAGTGAGGCTCATTGTGTGCTAATGCCTCAAATCGAGGCAAATGTGTGCTGACACAAATGCAATCTATGTTAAATTTGGTGCTGTCGTGTTTTCACAGTTATGCCACCAGAACAATAGTTATTAATTGTTTTGTTTTGATTTTTACTTTTTGTCTTGGTAATTTAAAAAATCAGAAGGTCAGTGAGACTAAAGAAAAGATGAAAAGGTAGGAACAATTATTTTAGCCATAAAATGATGGCAGATTGTATTTAACTACATTTGCTTTATTTTTAAATCATATACATTTGTTCCCGTCCTTCATAAATCAATTTTTTATTAATTGTGTTAATTATGCACTAAAACAAGTGTTTTTTGAATGTAGGCAGTGTCAAATGTGACTAATCATGTTTTACAACATATTTTATGCCTTAGACAGTGCCCAGAGCTTTTAAAAGCCAATGAAGATTGTTCTTTGTCTAGCCCAGACCTTACATCATAACATACAAGACATGAACAGAGTAAATTATTTTTTAGCAAAATTAACCATTTAGAAGGACAATATAACTTGTGTGTATCTGATAGACAGCTACAGTGTCCTAGACAAAGGACGAAGCAACATGGTACATTTACGGTACAAAGCTAAGAGACTAAATTACTACAATAGTTACAGTACATGTGATGCCCCACAGGGCCAGAAGAATCATGTTTAAACTGCATTTAACAATTAGAGGTTGTAAAACTTTCTTTTCAGGACTGGAATTGTCTTTGATGAAAGGATGAAGAGGCATTTTAATGTGTGGGACAAGTAAGTGTAATCATCAATGAAATACAAGTTAACATTTAATAGTTAACAATATTTATTTGCATAAGGCAGCATTGCCAAAATGTCAGTTAAGACTCGTTTGAACAGCATCATTTTTACAATTTTCAAATTAGCATTAAGTAGCTTCACTGTGCGGGGAATTTAATTTTTATTTGCTTCTCATTTACATTATAAAGATAGATGGCATTGCATAGAAAAAAATAAATAAATAAAGGATAGTAGAAGAAAAATACAGCAATTCTGAAAGTACAAAATGAATAATCAATAATAATTAGTTACAACATATCCTGACTCTTGTTTCCTTTTCTTGAAAGTTTCGAAAACAAATAACCTTCATGTATTTTTTTACAAATAGAAGGATCTACGTTATTAATAAGGAATAACATTTTGTCTTGTTCATTTATAGTATTAAAGATGGAATATTTTGACATTATTTCAGTGAACCACAGTTTTTGAACTGCATGAAAGGAAAACTGATAGGCTTAGTATTTTTTTGTCATAAAGGTGACATCCCGTGGAATGTGGCCTGTAAAAGATTCAAACCTTCCTGGCCAGGAAGGCTAATGAGCACAAAAAAAAATTTCCTCAGGAGAGGTATAAATTGATAATCCCGCAAAATATTAGAAAAACAAAAACATCATGTAAAGTAATTTTAGATATTAAAATAATTTGACCTGCCTGGAAGGCTGGGTACATTGTACACCCTTTTAGTATACATGGGG